ATCTCCTCCCCCCCCCGCATCCCCCCACCATTGTCCCCCCACCCCACTTCCATCTCCCCTCCATCCCTGCTGCATCCTTGTTCCACCCCTCCATCACTGTCGCCTCCTTCGCTGGGGCTGTGCCTTTGGGGAGGGCCTGCCCCCCCCCCCCCAACCCCCCCCGGGGGCAGACAGAGGACTTGGATTGCACCAGGCAGCCCTGCGTATGGCAGCAAATACCCTAATTAATTAATTATGGGATAATCTCTGGTTCCGGGGAACGGGCGGCTGCTGAGACTCGATTAACCGCAAGAATGTTTAATCTCCCACCGAAGCCCCAGGCTGCCTCTCCCGTAAGGCGCCGGGGATTATTCCCGCTGGGCCGCAAGCGTGCCCATGCAGGGACGCGCCAGCCAGGCCGGGGCTGGCAGAGGGACGGGGACCGGGAGGCCGGGGTTTGCTGCGGTGAGGGGCACGCACAACCCGGGGCAGCCCAGCGACCCTGAAACACCGCAGGGGCGGCCGGCGAGGGTGACGCTGCCCTGGCCCCGCAGGAGATGGGCTGGCGGGGAGATATCCCTGTTCCAGCTGCCAGGCCCCGGGAACGAGCTTTGTCCCTGCCGGAGTGCTGGGGCTGGGCACCTCCCCCTGCCCTCTCCTGCCTCTCCTGTCCTCCATCCTGCACCCGGCGTCCCAGTCCTGCATCCCTTATCCCACACCATGTGCCCTGCACCCTCCGTCCCACATCCCAGTCCCGCATCCAGCATCATGTACCCTGCATCCCATATCCCTGTCCTGAAGCCATATCCCACAGCCTGTACCCTCCTTTGTACATCCCAATCCTGCACCCTACATCCAGCATCATGCACCCTGCATCCTGCATCCCACAAAATTACTCAGCATCCCGCATACAAATCCTGCAACCTGCATCCTGCATCCTGCATCCCAGTCCTGAACCCATATGCCACATCCTGTACTGTCCAGCAGGCATCCCAGTCCTGCATCCTGTATGTCACATCCCGATCCTGCATCCCAGTCCTGCATCCTGTATGTCACATCCCGATCCTGCATCTCACATCCTGCACCCTGCATTCTGCATCCCAGCCCTGCATCCCACATCCCAGTCTTACATCCCAATACTGCATTCTCTATCCTGCATCCCAGTCCTGCATTCTCTATCCTACATCCTGCATCCCCTATCCTACATCCTGCATCCCAGTCCTGCATCCCACATCCTGCACCCTGCATCCTGCATCCCAGCCTGCCATCCCACATACTGCACCCTGCCTCTCACATCCCAGCCCTGCATCCCCATCCCACATCCCACATCCCAGCCCTGCCTCCCCATCCTGCATCCTGCATCCCAGCCCTGTATCCTGCATCCCAGCCCTGCCTCCCCATCCCCATCCTGCACCCCAGCCCTGCACCCCAGCTCTGCATCCCCATCCTGCATCCCAGCCCTGCATCCCCATCCCCATCCCCATCCTGCATCCCAGCCCTGCATCCCCATCCCCATCCCCATCCTGCATCCCAGCCCTGCATCCCCATCCCCATCCCCATCCTGCATCCCAGCCCTGCATCCCCATCCCCATCCCCATCCTGCATCCCAGCCCTGCATCCCAGCTCTGCATCCCCATCCTGCATCCCACCCCTGCATCCCCATCCCGCATCCCGCATCCCAGCCCTGCCTCCCCATCCCCATCCTCATTCCGCATCCCGGCTCCCCCT